CATTTACAATATACGTAATACAACCCGAGTAACGTTAAGAGCAGTTGAGTTCATGAATCCCCAAGTTCTTATCTTTTTATACATTCTTTGTAAGTGAAGACAGTAACAGAAGGCAGGTGCTGCAGGTGTTTGGGACTAGATATGTACTGCTATCCTAATTTAATTAGTATTTCCCCTTTATTTTGAAAGCCCCAACACTGTGGGTACTCCAAATTCCAGTGCATTCTTTTTTTTTTTTCTTTGTTCTGCCTCCCCTTGGCCTTGTTTTTTTTTTTTTTTTTTTATAGTTATTTTTAAAATCTCCATCAAATATCAGTGCTTTGGGCTGGGGAGATGGCTTAGCAGTTAAGAACATTTGCTATTACAGAGGGCCAGGTTCAGTTACTAGCACCCATGTGGTAGCTCAAAACCATCCGAAACTCTAGTTTCAGTGGCTATGATGCCCTCTTCTGGTTTCTGTGGGCACCAGACATGCACATGATGCATAGACACATACATTTAGCCAAAACACTCAGGTATGCATTAAAAATGCAAACAAACACTAGGCGATGGTGATACATGCCTTTAATCCCAGCACTCAGGAGAGAGAGGCAGGTGGTAGTCTCTGAGTTTGAGACCAGCCTGGTCTACAGAATGAGTTCTAGGAGAGCTAGGGCTATACAGAGAAACACTGTCTCAAAAAACCAAAAATGAATAAATAGATAAACAATGAAAACAAGGAGTCCTTCATTTTAGAAGTCCTTCAGGTCAGCTGAGAAAGGCAAAAGTAGTCAAGAAAACAGTCAGGATCTGGAAGACAGAATGGAATCATGCCACTTGCTGTGTAGACTTCAGGGAAGTTCCTTAATTCTTGATTTCTTAGGCCCATACTTTCGTCTCCATCCATGCGCACAATTGTTTCAGAAACAGAATAAAATATGATAGAAAAATATAAGTTTTCCTTTCTAAGATAGACAAAAGCCCTGATTTTTCTTTTGATAGGGAGAACCCCACACACTTCTGTGGCTCTTCGTTTCACCAAGGATAGTTCTTGCCTACTGGCCTTGCTCTGAAATAGCAGCAGTGATGCAGCCATCAGCAGCAATAGAAAAATGGGGTGCTCACATGACATTTTTGAGTCCCTATGTCCTGAATACACATTTTCGTGTTTTGTTTCGCTTTCCCTCCAGACCAGCCTGCCTTGTGCCCAAGGTTTACTTTGTTTTTGTTGCCATTAGAAAAGAGAGACTTGAAATATATATATATATATATATATATATATATATACATATATATA